AATAGTATAGGTAACTATTTAGGCCATTTTAGGCCCTACATTCTTGTCCCCGAGAGAGCTGGCATCTCGGGCCACGACCTCCGGCACCTCCTCCTGAGGAAACTCAGGGCTACGGTTTCAGGGGTCATGGGTTTACAACTACAAGAATAAAACATGACAATAGTGAGTATATTGCTATTTACGATCATGGTTACAATGGTTACTTGTAGCTACTACGAGTTGTCTTTTTGTTGTTGTGGTTGCTTTGGTGCTTCGGGTTGAAGGTTTCCAAAGTTTGAGGTTTGGGCTTCGTGGCCTAGGACCTTGGGATTTGTTCAAAAGTTGACACGCGCCCTTTCCGTACTCCGAAGAAGTGCTGGCCATTTCCGGCCCTCAACTAATGAAACACCCTGTTCAGTGCTCTCCTTCAAAGTCCGCTCTGCCACATTCAACTGGACTTTCACCATCCTCATTGCCATCCTTTGTTTAGGGCTTCAGGGATTCGCGGCTTGGGACTGCGCGGATTTTGGGCTCAGTCGGAAGAATCCTTGAAAGCCTGAACCCTGCGGTCCTGCATGGTGGATGGATGCCAGGGAGCCCGCGTAGCTTGTAGCAGCGGACGGTAAACTAGTCTGTCGAAAGGAACATATCACACTGCTAATGCTGGCTGAAAAAGCAATAAGGCGATGCTTGAAGCAGCTGGGTGCCTCTATCACGATGTCTGAGAGAGTAGGCATGACACTGACAAAAGGTCATGGGCACCATATGTAAGTCGAAGAGTATTTGAGTAACATCTGATCACACTGATCTTTGAGAGCTCCGACTCGCTTGGCATTTGGCTGTCTTTGCGACAGCGTGGCAATCGTCGGCTTCGAGCATGGCTGCTGAAGGCAAGTGGCGAAACTGTGCACCCAACATGCCCAAACGGGGATACAGAAGCCGACTCACGGTCTCAGCAGTGCTGTTTCTGTGACAGCAAAAAAGAGCACGGAAATTACGGAATCCAGAAGACTCCTTAAACTCTAAACTGTTGTCCTGTTGTTCATTTAGACGGGAATCCTGAAACAAGGAAGCACCAACGGTCCGGGGAACGGCTGACTCCAAGCTCGTAGCTGCACTACACCCCGGACCCCAAACCTCAAAACCGGAACCATAGACTCAACACCTCTGTATTCTCTTCCAAAGAAACGCACCCGGTGATCAGAATCGCAAGCGATACCTCGTACGCCTAGAGCTCCATCAACCCACACAGCAGTCCTAAATCCCTAAACCCTAAACCCCTAAATCCCTAAACTTCAAAAACTCCGAACACCAAGCCCCAGAGGATGCTCAGGGGAGGCGGTCGGACCAGACCATAGAAATCGAGGATGCCTTGCCTTGCAAGTTTGGCGCGCCCGGCTTGAGGTAAAGGGCTTTTTGTCGGGAGCCTTCGTGTAAGATAAGGGCCTTCACGATTAGCCTCGGTAAAATATTAGAGCTTTGGGCACGGCTTTTGGGAGTTACATTTCCGGTTCCGGGTTTCGGGAGGATGTGTGATGTGGGGTTTGTGGTTCTTGAGCGGGTATGGTTTCGGGATGGGAGCGAGGCTTGGAGTCGGTTGAGAGTAGTGGTTGGAAACCCTGAAAAGTCCGGGAAGCACGCGAACCATTGCGGTTGGTTTCTCATGGTTGCTACAGCACCGACACCCGACCGCGGAATGTCGCCAGATGCAGAAGGTCTTGAACATACGTGCGCTAAAACTCTAAATAGACTCTAAAAACAGCCTACAGAGTCCCTCTCCCTCACAAATTCGAAAACACGGCCCATACGTCACTCAGGCTTCTTCCATTCTCCCTCCGACAGGGAGGTCTCCACAGGAATGTACTCTTTCGTGATCCGCCGCAACGCCTGAAGCTTCCGGGGGGCTCGGGCCTACAGATTAGGATTCTGCTAAGTTGTTGGGGCCTGAATAATTACCATTACTATGTTTGGAGTTCCTTAGTATAATTATAGTATAATGGCCCCTGGACCCTACTCTAATTGTTAAGACCCCTAAATTAAGTTGTTGAAGTGTTGAAGATTGATTTCTTCAGCTGCATGACATTGGGAATAGGACTTTTGATTGGCGAGCCTGGAACACTCGTTCAAAGAGGAAGAAACATCAATTCGAGCAACACCGAATCGAAGCCACTGAGCCCGCCGGGCTTGATGTTCAGGGTTTTTTGAAAGCCCTGCCCCAACTTCACCTTGACCTTACTAATACCCAGACTAAACCCCCAATCCGAAACCCGACCAAGACCCCAAACAACCTAAACCCCTCAAAGCCCTCATAGGCTCCCGTTTATAGTGACCCTTAAACCCCGCAAAACCTATAATACTGTAGCATACCGTTTTTCAAATAGTGGATCTTGAACCCAAAGCACTTCTAGGAACCCTTGCACCACCCCAAGCCCCACAATCCAAACCCACTCCCTCAAACCCTAAACCCGACTTAACCCGAACATCGCTAGACCCGCACCATGAACCCGAAAACGCAAAGATTAGGGTTTAGGGTTTAGGGTTTAGGGTTTAGGGTTTAGGGTTTAGGGTTTAGGGTTTAGGGTTTCGGCTTTCTTTCATTGAACAGTCCACCTGCGCCTTTCTTTCGGCCGCAGGCGTGGGCTCTGCCTCCGAGAGTAGGAGGGGATTTTATAGGGCTCTGCAGGGCTCGAGACAAATCGATGAGGGATTGATAGGGATCCTTAAGGGCTTGATGAAGGATCTATAAGGGCTCTTTACGGATTTAAACAGGGCACTATATAGATCTGCTCTACTCTAAACCCTAAACCCACAAGATCTTCCGTGAAGCCCTCAAAAAGCACAACAAAAAACCCTCATATAAGTCCCTTCAACTCGAAACCCCGAAGCCGAAAACACCAGAGGCTTCTAGAACCCCAACACGTCCAATCCGTCCGAGCCCCAGAATCCCTTAGAGTAATCCCCGTAATTGGAACTTCTATAGTTCCTTCTAAACTAACCGTTATACAACCCTATAGAAGCCGTAAAAGCCGGTTACAGTAATTCGTACACCCTAAACCCTAAACCCCCAAACCCTCAAGCCCTCCTGTTTCGAGGCCTCCGCCGGCTCTTCGTTGTGCCCTTCGCCTGTCTCGGCCTCGGCCGCGGCCTCGGCGGCAGCCTCGAGGCAGAGGGGGTCAAGGTAAGGGTTAAGGGGTTTGGGGTTTAGGGGTTTAGGGTTTATGGGGTGCCAACTGAGTGGGGGGGTT